TTATTATAGGTTTTATAAATTTGATATGGTTTTCAGTCTAAATGTATGAAAACTGTGTTTGTTTGAACTAGAATGCACCTTGATTAAAACCCATCAACTGCAGCATACTGGTGTAACGTTAACCTTTAAACAAGCTGCTTATTGTAGTCAAGTCAGTATGAAAATTTAAATTTCATAGCAGGTGTTTGTTTTCTGACTATTCTTTTTTTCCTACAGTTCCAGCCACAGATCCTGAAGTAAATCCTGGTTAGTGAAAATATTTTATTATAAATTATAGATTTATACATATTCATTTTATTGGATTAAAAGTAAAATGATGAGGAGTCAAATAGTTTAACTCCGTCTACCTGTGCAGAGCCTCATGGAGATGATGACCGTCGCAGTCGTGTCCACACGAGTTTGGTCGTCGTGCTGCTCATCGTTGCGATCTCCTCGCTGATGGTTGTTGCTTTCTTCCTCTACAAGCGGTCCCCTCGGCCCCTCCCCACCTTYGAAAACCCACTCTACTTCAACAGCGAAAAATCCCAGCCAGATGTGATCGACACCAACAAACTGATAGAGAACGCAGAAAACAATGAGCCTATAATAACACTGTAATTATCAAAAAAAAAAAAAAACTACTGGAAGATTAATTTTACATTATAAACACTGATGTATTACAGTCTTGTACCTTTTTATTATACTATAAACAGTTTATATTTAGTAAATTAACCGTAGTTTTTCTGTCTTTTCCTAATGGTTGTATATAATGGATACATGTGTTTTTTACAACCTGGTTTATTCATGCGTTTTACACTTTAAATGTAAAAAAGTTAAATAAAAGCTTATCGGCTGTTACTGTTAAATAAACAATAAACTTTCTTAAAACTACACTGTTATTTTTTAATTAAAGAAGTTAAAATTATTTTACTATACTATGTTTTCCTATTAGTACTGCTTCTTATGATGTAAATGTACTTTATTCAGGTCAAAGTACTGATTAAAATAAATGTTGCTTGAGTGTTTTCATTCTAAATATCAAAACTTAATATTTAATTTTTTTCTTTGCATAATTAGAAAGTGTCTAACTACTTTGGATTTGATTACTTTGTTTTTTGTTTGTTTGAAAGTAATATTGTGTAAGCTAATTATTTTATTAAAACTAGTTGTTCTTTTGTGTTGATTTATGTAAGCCAGGTGAAAACCCAAAGAAACCTGTATTGTATTATTGTGCAGTGCTTTGTGTGCTTTAGAAATAAAGTTGATTGTTTCAATTGCTGAATGCAAGAACAGGACCAGAATGCTCTTGGATTAGATTTTTTATTTTATTTTATTATGCCCAAGCCGAAGAAGCAGCAGGAGTAAATGTTTTTTTGTTAAATCTTTTTGTATCTTTTTGTTTTGTTGGTTGTTTTTAGTTTGTTGCCTGCTTGCAATGGATAAATAAACCAACCCACAAAACCAACCAGCTTGTTTGGACATTGCATCTTTTTTTTCCTTTTAGGGAAATGTGATTGACGAACTCTCAATCAGCTCTGAACTTTATTCTGCCATCACAGCTCTGTAGTCAAAGTTGCCTTTTATTTGATGTTCAGGTTTGGAGGTGGAGACTGAAGTTTCAGCCATTTTGCTGATTAATAATAGTTGTTTTGTATTTTAGTCATGCTGGTATGGTAGAATGGGATTTAACGGTATGTGGTTTTTACCTTTCATTTGAGACCTCAGTGAATTCACAGTTTGCAAGCATTTTATGGGATCATTTTATGGAAAAAAAGAACACTGTTTGTCATAAATCCAGTCTTACTTGGCCTATGAACATAATTATGATCCCCGCTTGCGAAGCGTATTTCGTACTGTTTATTTTTTTTATTTTAATTTTTTTTCAGTGATATTTGGTCAACCGTACCACAAAAATGGCTGCACCAATCAACATGAAATTTGGCAGGACTGTAGATGAGTCTAACCTATACTGCACCAGCCAACAGTTTTATGATAGACCCCATATTTGAGGAGGGGGCTCCTTTCAAAGTGGGGGTGTCAGGACACGCAAAATCGCTTATAACCCAGAAACTGTTCAACATAGGAGCTTCAGATTTTTTTTTGTTATTTAGCTCTGATGAAGCTCTATCCATCAGGCCCACCAATTAGTGCCCCCCCACCCCCCGGACCCCCAATTTATC